AGGTGCAATCATTGTGGCGCGTGGGCTTAGTTGCTCAGTGGTATGTGGGATCTTACAGGTCAGGGATCGAACCCATGTCCTCCACAGTGGTGCAGAGATATTTGTGCAAAAGGGATTAGATCACTTTGTCAGTAGTGTGAATGATGGGAAGAGAAAGATCAGATTCAAGAAGGGAAGCCTGGAGATTTCTAGTAATATAGACAAGAGGTATTGAAGTAAAAACAGAGAAAGGAAGAGAGCAGTTCTGGAAACACTGTGCGAATGGACAGGTCAACCCTGATCTTGGAGTGAGGGTTGGAGATTCCAATTTGAGTCCTTTTCTCAAAGGTGATGGCAGAAGCTCTGGAAGTGGCTAAGGTCACCAGGAAGAGCAGAGATAAAGTAAGCTGGGGAGGCCACAGAACCTTAGGGAAGGCTTATATTTAAGGGTAAGTAAATCTTCAGATTTAGAAGAAAAGATATTTCAAACTTGTTGAAAAGATGAGGAAAACTGTGTCTTCAGAATTCATTGGTTTGCCTAGTTTGGGGGCTTCCCAGGTGGCTTAGTGGTAAAGAACCCACCTACCAATGCAGGGGACCCAGGTTCAATCCCTGGGTCAGGAAGATCGCCTGGAGGAGGGCATAGCAACCCACTCCAGTATTCTTGCCTGGAGAATCCCCATGGACAGAGGACATGACTGAAGTGACTTAGCGCTGGCACTTAGCACAGCACTAGTTTATGGCAGAGCCCTTTAGAACCCAGGTACCCAGATGTCCCAACTTATAACTTGGTGCACTATTAGTTCAACACTTTAGACCCTAGTTTAATGCTAAATTGAAAAATCGAACCCACCACCTTTCCCATCCTCATCTATTTTGGTAAGACAGACTAAACTTGAATTTTAGAATTCTGAAATTGAATCCTGTGTCTCTTTTGCTTCCAGCTACCAATAGCAAAGAGAAAATTTTGCCATTGGAAAATTCGGGGCAAGCCATCCATGTGGATGCCATTTAAAATTAAAATGTGTGATATGAATTGATAGTAAGAATTATAAAAAGTCTAAATAAATCTACCTTATGTTTCAAAGGCAGTAAGTTGATCTTATGTATTATTACATGTTTTTATATCCTTTATGTTAAAAAATCTGCCATTTTAAGCTCTGAAGTATCCTTATTGTCCCCATATATCTTGTTATATACAGAAATGAAAAGATTTTGTTCAAATAAGCCAAACCAAATGCTTTCTTTAGTTTTGCAGAAGATTTTGTTGCTATTAATACTGCTGTCTTCTATGGCATGTGCCAAAGGTATAGTTTGAAATTCTGTTTTTAACTCAGTGAAATATTTATATCTCAAATAAAGGGAGGGCTTAAAAGAAAGGATATGAAACTGATACGGACCATTTTAAGAAGCAAGTATATGAAGGGGCCAAGTCTCAGAAATAGCATCATCTTTGCTGAACAACAGAGTTAAGTAATACGTGAATTTTATCATTTATTTAGCTGGAAGAACCAAGCTTTGAAAATGAACCATCACAAGTCATGATTAATCAACTGTTTGCAACTCAACTCTGATAAAAGTCAGGTGATAAAATGAGCAGGAGCAACATAAATACTAAAGGTTGATGTTTCATACAAAGATAAAAAATTTCCCCCCAGGAAATGGATTTTAACCATTTGTGGTATAGAAAATGATCCTATTAGAAATCTAATACATGGACTTATAGCCTACCCCCCAAAAATCTGAAACATACTTTTAAATTGGCCAATCATCTTCTCGCATTAAAGTTCCAGAAAAATGGTGGGGTTTTTTTGTTTATTTTTCTTTGCTTACTTTGGGTTTCTTTTCAATTTTTGTTTTTCTTAAGTAGGTATATTTTATTAAATATGCATGTAGAAAAGTACATTTCACAAGTGCACAACTCAAAGAAGCACTGAAAATTGAATATACCCATGTATCTGGCATCCAGATCAAGACAGACATCTCCAGCCCTTCACAGTCCCTTCCAGTCATTGGGATACCAGCCTTTCCACCCTCTGCAGCTGTTGGGGAGACACTGATCATGGTCTCTGACATTTCTGCCTATCTTGTGAGCAGAGATACTGCCTGCTTTTGTTCAGAGCTTTTCAAGCTTATTTAAATAGCCTTGAAAGACAACAGAGAATGTTTTTCTCTAGAGGAAAGGGCAGTTTTGCTTAAGTCTTGAAAATATAGAAAAATTGTATCTCTTATATTGTCTTTTATTATACTGTTTGATGGGACTTCCCTGGTGGCTCAGATGGGAAAGAATCTGCCTGCAATGTGGGAAACCCGGGTTTGATCCCTGGGTCAGGAAGATCCCCTGGAGAAAGGAATGGCTGTAGAATTCCATGGACAGAGGAGCCTGGTGGGCTACAGTCCAATGGGACCACAAAGAGTTGTATATGACTGAGTGACTAACACTTTCATACGGTTTAAAGAATTAAAGATGTCTCCCTTCAATGCAAAGGGTAGGCATGTTCACTTCCCGTTATGAAAGACTGTGGTGACCTAAACTCAGGTTCCTCTCCTATAATGCCGCCCAGTATGGGTGCAGGTGTCACCTGGCTTCCTTCACATTGCATAATTAGGAAGTAGGGGTCAGGAAGCTGGTACACTATTGACATAGACTTTTGAGTTGTAAGGTTCTTTGTCTATGACTCAGCATCCATTCACTAGGCAGACTAGTTTGTAAGCAGAAAAAAATCTCACTCTTCACTGTTCTTTATAGAATCACTATTTCAACTTCTACCATCATAGATTAGTTTTAAATGTTCTTAAAATTCATATATAAATGGAATTATACAGCATGTACTCTTGTGTCATGTACCACTAGCTTCCCAAATGGCACTAGTGGTAAAGAATCTACCTGCCAATGCAGGTAGGTGTAAGAGACCCGGTTTCGATCCCGGGGTTGGGAAGATCCCCTGGAGGAGGGCATGGCAACCCACTCCAGTATTCTTGCCTGGAGAATCCCATGGACAGAGGAGCTTGGTGGGCTGCAGTCCATAGGGTCGCACAGATTTGGCCATGACTGAAGCAACCTGGCATGCATCCACTCTTATATCTAGCTTCTTTCATCCAAGCTCATATTTATGAGATCCATTTGTAATATTTCATATAAGCAAAGTTTTAAAATTTTCTCATAGCATTCTGTCATGTGACTATTTTGAAACTTACTTTTTCTGCTGTTGATGGATTCTGGGGGCAGTTTCCGCTATTAGAACTGTGCTGTTATAAACACTTCCATGCATGTCTTGGTGAATATATATGTATGTATTTCTGTTGGGTATGTTCCCAGAGCTGGATCAGAGAGTGTGCCATAGACACTGCCAATCAGTTTTCTAAAGTATTTGTACCAAGCTACTCTTCCAATAGCAGTGTACATGCCTTCTGATTTTTCTGTGTATTTTTCCACCCTTGCTATTTTTCATCTTTTTAGTTTATTTTTTTATACTGACATGCTTTTATTTTATCAACATGCATATAAGGAAAGAAAAATATGCCAATAGTACACTTCCAATTTTACAGAGAAATCCCCCAAGTATTTCTGCCATTCAGAGAGAGAGAGACATCAATTATTAAGTTGTTACCAGGATAAATTGTGAAGACAGTCAGAGCCACAAATTTTTGTGTGTTATTTTTCCAAAAAGACAATAATTTCCAAAGTCTTCAGAGTCTGGCAAGACCAAGTTATTCAATTTTAGTTCTAAAGATACAGTTTTAACAGAAACAAGTTGAAAATCATCATGAATATTCACAAAAATTTCCATATTGTACAAGAAAGAGATTAGCATTCTTTCAAATGTTCTCAACTGAAAGCAAAAGAAAACCTATACAGCTGTATCTTCCCAGTAAACAGAAACAGAGGAAGTAATAGGGTTTTACTAAATACTAGTGAAATTAAGGGCACAGTATTGATCTTCCCCATAATTGCATTGTTTGAATTTCTTTAAAGAACCCATCTTTCAGCAACATAGTTAGCACTTCAACCACCTTCAGTTCTCCCATCCCAATCCTGAGAAAAATATTTCTCCTTCCATCACCACTGACAAGATATCCCTTCCTTGCAGGCTCTCAGTCAATCCAGTTTTCATACTAGGCCCATATTTTCCCTGGGTCATTTCTGCCTCTGGGCGTCTGTTCAGTTTTCTTTCTTAGGATGGGCACTCACCCCAGTCTCTTCAGTTCTCCCATACATTCATTCCATATACATCTACCTTTCTTCCAACTGTCTAGGTATTGCTATGGATGGGTGAGGGCTGGGAAGAAGGCAGAGAGGAGTAAGGGCTCTGGTAGTCTCCTTTACAGGACCATCTCTCTGCCTCTTGAAATAGTAAAGAGCCAAGTTAAACCGCCTCCTTGTGGAGGTTGTTTTGGCTTGTCTCAGGTCAGATTTGGAGAGGGAAATGGCAACCCACTCCAGTATTCTTGCCTGGAGAATCCCATGGACAGAGGAACCTGGCAGGCCATGGTCCATGTGGTCACAGAGAGTCAGACACGACTGAAGCGACTAAGCACGCACGCACAAGTTAAACCACAAAGCCAGCTTCTGCAGATGTTTCTGAGCTACCATTTTTAAAAAAAGAGATAGGAGAGATATAAGAAAGAGAGGGAGAAAGAGAAGAGGAACTGTTTGTCTGCCCTGGCACTGCTTGCTCTTCATCATGTTCAGGATGAAGAAGGGAAACAAATGAAAGTATCTAACCTTTGTATGGCTTTACTGGTTGAGACTGAGAAAACCTGATACTTGTTAAGGACACCATCATTATTTTTGCCATGTAAATGAGTCTAACTTGTCTCCTCAACCACTTGCCTGACAGTAAAAGTAGGGTTCCTGAGTGATGGTGAGGAATTGAATTCTTTTAGAGGAGAAATACTGGGGTGGGTAGCTGTTCCCTTCTCTAGGGGATCTTCCAAACCCAGGGATCAAACCCAGGTCTCCCGCATTGCAGGTGGATTCTTTACCATTCTTTACCTCTGAGCAAAGCCCAGAGGAGAAACAGAAAGGTCTTCTACATGCTTGCAGGAAACCTGGGTCTACCACCAATTCTGAAGATTCTTGTTTACCAAAAACTAGAAAGTGGACCTGACAAGGTCTAAAAAATGTTCATCCAGCAGGCAGCAACCTAAGGCGGGCGGGTGTATCCAGGCAGCAACAGGTGATCAGAGAAGCAGGAAGAGCAATGCGGTTGCCTAAATCAGAGACCAAGCAGTGCACTGCTGTTCTCTCTTGACTTTACTGAATGCCCAGCAGTTGTCCACAGGCCATGTGCAGAGCAGAATGAGTAGAACAGGCTCTTAAACACAGCTGAAAATCCAGGTGGTAGTAACGAGACCAGAAGCCGTGGGAACAGTGTGTAAGCAATGCTGACAAAAGCAGAGAAATCTACGCTTGTTTGGCCTAGAAGAAGGTGAGTCACACGGTGCCGCATGTAGCATTAACGCAGGACATCAAGGAGACCATGGGGAAGTGGGGCAGCGTGGCCACGAAGGTCTCCGTCTTGAAAGCTGAGAGAACGGAATGTCCAGTGGAGGGAAGGTGTAGAAAGGTCAGCACAAAACCAGTAAAGGGCATACCCTTGCTGTAGCCACGCCCCGGTCAGGCAGGAGGTGGCAGGGGACCTGCGTGGGAGTATTCCCAAGAGCAGAGGTTAGCCAGATGGGAACCCAGGGGGCCTGGGGGTCTCCACTGGTTCCCTGATCTGGAGAAGTCTAGCTCTATGGGGCGCTTCATCCAGTAGGTAGTATTGCAGTGCCTTTGGCCAGAGATCCTCTTTGATAATCTCAGCAATCCTGTCAGGCTCTGGAAGGCTGTTGTCTGAAAACCAGGCCAAAAAGCCACACATGAGGTCTTGGTTCCTACAAAGGAAGACCTGGGCTTCATGACCCGGGTGCCATATGATCGGAGTGGAAAGAGACACCACTTGGCCGGAGGGTGTGACCTCGTATTCCTTCACAAGCCACTTGTTTCTGAAGTATGGGTTTCTTCGAAAGAGGAACTTGAATTTATAGCCCATCTGAGGATGTCTGAGCTCTTTCACCTCCAATTTGGCTAAGTAGCTGAGTATCTCTGCATCTCTGCCGCTAATCAGGGCAGATAGCCGTGGGTGGTTCCGAAAGGCAGTGACCCAGAAGCCGGGGATGTGCCGAATGACGTGCTTCCTCCACTGGAGGTAGTGTTGACGCACGCGCCTGTACCTGCGCTCCACCTGGAGGAAGGCCGGGTCAGCCTGAGCGTTCCCGGCATCCACTTCCAGCTGGTTGGACTCCAGGGCTTTCCGGGGGAGACCCTCAGTCCGGGTTGGGGGCCCTGCCTCGTCCTTTGCCTCCTCTACCCCTCTGTGTTCCTCCACCACTTCCCTTTCCCCAGCCACCGGCTTCTCCACTTCAACCCTCTCCTCCTCGTTCACTGCTTCTGGAAAGATGGGGCCCCTTTCGGTCTTAGCTTCCGCAGCCTTCCCTCCAGCCGTCAGCTCAGACTCTGATCTCCCGGTGTCACAGGTTTCTGGGGCCTTCTCCCCGCCAGTTTCACCCTGAAAACCATTTCCCAGGCTGCTGTTGGCTGCCCCAGAGGCAGAGGTTGCTTCCCTGTCCTCTGTGGGTGGCCCGACCTCCTCTAGTCCCACTCGGGCCCCTCCACGACCGTGAGCCCCAGCAGTTGGGAGCTGGGGGGTAGAGCTGGCGTCCGCGGGAGCCCGGGGTGCGCCCCCCTCCTCCGAAAGCTGGAGCGGTGGGAGCGCGACAGTCTCCAAGCTGCCCTCGCTCATCTCCACCAGCACCTGGGTTTCCTCTAGAAGCTTCTGGCTCTGCTGCGCTCCGGTTCTCCCAGGGCGTGGTCAGCAGCAGTGAAGGTATGGGCTTAGGGAGGAAGGATCCCTTGGCTCTAACAGGGACGCTGATGTAGGCAGCAGCCTGACCAGCTGTTTGTTGGCAACTGTTTTCCTCACAAAAGACTCACTCATGCAAACCAGTGGATTGCGCCACCCTGCAGTCTCAGGAGACCCACCCTTCAAATTCCCAGTACTCACCCCTCAGTCTGTAGACACTCTCCATCTCATCTAGTCTAGTTCTGTGGGCTCTGCCATCCTTTGTATTCTCAGTGTTCTGGTGCAGGTGTGATATTGTCACACAGTGGTTTTAATGTGCATGTACCTAATGTCTGAGAAATTGAGACTCTTTCACGTGGTTCTGATTTTACCATTTGGATATCGGCTTTGTGTTAAGTCTCGGAGTCTTCTCTCCACTTTCTCTATTGTGTATTCTGTATTTTTTGTGTTGTAAGAATCCACTGTACATGCTAGATACAAGTCATTTTTCAGATCTGTGTATTGCGAATATCTTCTCCCCTCTGAGTTGCTTTTTCACTATCTTGGAGAAGGAAATGGCAGCCCACTCCAGGGTTCTTGCCTGGAGAATCCCAGGGACCGCGGAGCCTGGTGGGCTACCGTCTATAGGGTCGCACAGAGTCAGACACGACTGAAGCGCCTTAGCAGCAGCAGCAGCAATGATGTCTTTTAATGAACAAAGTTTTTAATCATATATTCCAATTTATCATTTTCCCCTTTTAGATCAGTTCTTTTTGCGCCCTGTTAAGAAATCTTGCCCTTCTGATATTGTTTTCATTTATATCTGCAGTCCATTTGGAGTTGCTTTTTACCAATGGTGTGATAGGAGTCAAGATTCATTTTTCCCCCATATGCCTGTCTGAATGACCAAGCAGTATTTATTGAAGGGAACATCCTTTCCTCATGCATAGGGTTCTAAATGTTTCCATTAAAAGTGACATATGTCATTGGTCAGAGCTAGTCAGATGGCCTTGCCTAACTTTAAGGGGTCAGAGAAGTAAAAACTTTCCCTGAGATTGCAAGGAAAAGAAAGCTGAATATACTGGTGAGCACTATATCACTTATCATAGACTCTAAATTGAGTAGTGTGTACAAGACCAGCAGAGTTAGGCCAAAGAAAGGAGAGAAAAGGTAATGATGAATATAAAAGGAGAAATTAATGAAAGACAGTTAATAGGAAGTATCAACCAAAGATTAATAATAAAAGGAGAGAGAATAAGTAAACAATATTTGGAATGGAAAATATAGTCATAGTACTGATTTAAGGAAATATAAGAGAACATGTTAGAGAAACTTACACTAGTACATTTTCAAACTTGGATGATATATATGAATTTATGGAAATAGAACTCAACACTGAAATGCAGTAAAATCCTAAACAGACATAGAAATAAACAGAACCAAGGGTTTAAAAAAAAAAGAAAAACTTCCTACAAAATTAGCATGAGGCTAAGTGGTTTGAAACAAATACTTCCTTAACCTTCAAGGAACACATTACTGTGTGCCTGTGGCATGCCTACTACTATTTTAGGCTCTTAGGATATATTATTAAACAGAACAAAGATTTCTTCACTCTTGGAGTTTCTAGCAGAGGAGAAAACAATAAAAAAATAGGAAGTGGTAAGTGCTATGGATAAAACAATACATAGTGTTGAGTAAGGGAATTGAGAGTTGTGGGGGTAGGGAATTGGGAGCAGACTGTGGTTTTGAAAGGGTAGTCAGAGAAAAGGGTTTCCCAGGTGGCACCGAGGTAAAGAATCAGCCTGCCAGCGCAGGAGATATGGGCTTAATCCCTGAGTCAGGAAGATCCCCTCGAGAAGAGAATGGAAACCTACTCCAGTATTCTTGGCTGGGAAATCCCATGGACAGAGGAGCCTGGCAGGCTACAGTCTCAGTTCAGTTCAGTTGCTCAATCATGTCCCCATGAATCACTCTTTGTGACCCCATGGACCGCAGCACACCAGGCTTCCCTGTCCATCACCAACTCCTGGAGCTTTCTCAAACTCATGTCCATTGAGTCGGTGTTGCCATCCAACCATCTCATCCTCTGTCATCCCCTTCTCTTCCTGCCTTCAATCTTTCCCAGCATCAGGGTCTTTTCCAGTGAGTCAGTTCTTCACACCAGGTAGCCAAAGTATTGGAGTTTCAGCTTCAGCATCAGTCCTTCCAATGAATATTCAGGACTGATTTCCTTTAGGATGGACTGGTTGGATATCTTTGCAGTCCAAGGGACTCTCAAGACTCTTCTCTAACACCTCAGTTCAAAAGCATCAATTCTTCAGTGCTCAGCTTTCTTTATAGTCCAACTCTTACATCCATATATGACTACTTGAAAACCATAGCTTTGACTAGACAGACCTTTGTTGGCAAAGTAATGTCTCTGCTTTTTAGTATGCTGTCTAGATTGGCCATAGTTTTTCTCTCAAGAAGCAAGCACCTTTTAATTTCATGGCTGCAGTCACCATCTGCAGTGATTTTGGACCCCCTCCCCCAAAATAAAGTCTCTCACTGTTTCCATTGTTTCCCCATCTATTTGCCATGAAGTGATGGGACCAGATGCCATGATCTTAGTTTTTTGAATGTTGAGTTTTAAGCCAGCTTTTCACTCTCCTCTTTAACCTTCATCAAGAGGCTCTTTAGTTCTTCACTTTCTGTCGTAAGGGTGGTGTCATCTGTGTATCTGAGTCTACTGTCTGTGGGATCGCAGAGAGTCGGATGTGATTGAGCACCGTCAGAGGAAACCTCAATGAAAAGATTTTGACAAAGATTCAAAGAAGGAAGGATTTAGCTCAGTGGATATTCTGGAGAGGAGCATACTAGGAAGAAAGAGGAGCTAAACAGAAGCCTTAGGACAGGACCATGCTTAGGGTGTTCAGGGAATAACCAGAAGGAGATCAGTGTGACTGGAGCAGGGTGAATGAGAGAGGCCAGATCAAGCAGGATATTACATGATACTGTAAGAAGTTTGGTTTTATTCTTAGTGAAACGGGAAACCACTACAGAATTCAGAGGATTCAAAATTGGACGCATTTTGCATGGATCACTGGCTCCTGAGCAAAGAATAGACTGTGTGGGAACAATGATAGATGTAGGGAGATGTTTTAGAAGGCTATCAAAGTAATCAAGGTGAAGGTGATATTCCACAATGGACTTGGGTAGCAGATATAGTATGATGGTAGAGCCAGCATGATTTCATGATGAACTGGATACAGGGTATAAGAGAAGGAAAGAAGTCAAGGATGATTCCATGAATTTTGACCTGAGCAGCTGATAGGATGAAGCTGCCAGACGCAGATATAAGGGACATTATGGTAGCAGAGACCTTTGCAGGAAAACCAGACGTTGCTTTTGGACATGTTAAGTTTGAGATGACTTTGGATGAGAGCTGAGATAACAAGTGGGCATGAAGAGACTGGAGCACAAGAGAGGTCTAGGGTGGGGATACACACTTGGAAGTAATCAGCACACATGATATTTAAAGCAATATTTAAAGCTGGATGAAATCACCAAGGATGTGAGTAGCCATAGACCAAGCCCTAGGGGCTCCAAAATCATCAGGTCAGGAAGAAGGGGAAGAGCCAGCAAGAGACTAAGGGGAGACCAGTGAAGGAGGAGAGGATCTGAAAATGTGCAGGATGCTGAGAGCCAAATGTGTAAAGGAGAGTTCAACTGTGTGATGTGGTGCTCACAGGTCAAGTAAGATGAGAACTGACCGATGGATTTTACAGTAAAAGTGATGGAGGTCAGAACAGATTTTAAGGGGAATGGGAGGAAAGAAATTGGAGACAGTGAATATTGATACTCTTTGGAGGAATTTGCCCCAAAGGGAAATAAATGGAGTCATCACTTGACAAAAACTGGTTTGAAGGAGTGGTGGGGTGACAGCTTGGCTATAATGGCTTTTTCAGTTTTTTAATTTATTTTTTGGCTGTGCTGGGTCTTCACTGCTGCGTGGGCTTCTCTCTCATTGTACTGAGCAACGACTACCCTCTGGGTGTGGTGTGCAGACTTCGCATTCCAGTGGCTTCTCTTATTGTAGAGCGCAGGCTCCCAGGTGCACGGGCTTCAGTAGTTGCGGCTCATGGGCTCTAGGGCACAGGCTCAGTTGATCTGAGGCGTGCGGGAGTGAATCCCTCCTTGACCAGGGATTGAACCCACATCTCCTGCACTGGCAGGTGGATTGTTTACCACTGAGCCACCAGGGATGCCCTGTGATGTCTTTAAGAGAAAATCCAGAAGGGAGAAAGTGAAAATAGCAAGTATATATGACTCTTGAAGTTTTGCTCTAAAGAAATGGGATGATGGCTGGTGGAGAAAGTGGTTCCAAAAAAGGTTTTTAAAATGGGAGAAAAAGAAGTTTGTGTGCCTGCTGATGTGAGTGATTCAGCAGCAGGCAAAAATTCATGATGTAGGAGAGAGACAGGAGACTCATTGGAGGGATGTCCTTGAATAGGTGAGAGCAGATGGAATCTAATGCCCAAGTAGAGGAGGAAAAGTCAGCCTTTAGTAGGAACATGACAAGGTCACTGTGGGAACCAGCAGGAAGGCAAAGTATGAGGGTGTAGATGCTGTTTGGTGGGTAAAAGTGATGATGCAATCTATGAAATTCTCTTCACATCGCTTCTGTGTACTCAGTAAAGGAGAAAGCAAGATTCAATTCAAGTGAGAGAGAGGATGAGGTGAGAGGCAGAAGGATTCTGGGAAGAGACAAGTAGGAAATAGCTATCTGGAGAATTGAAGAGTGACAGGACTATGACATATGCTATGATTGTCAAACAGCATTAACATCATGAATTTGAATGAGGCACATTAGTGTAGCTGTGGATTTTTCTGCAACCACATTCAGTTTACAGGTGCAGCATGAAGAAGCAGAGCTGGATTTAGAACTGAAGCATGAAGGGCAAGAGAATGATTATAATCATGGATCTGAGAATCTAAGCTAGAGCAATGAAAGATGTAGGGGTGGGGCAGTGAAAAGGCGGCCTGATCAA